TGCGGGCCCCGGTGCGTTCCCCCCAGCACCAGCACGACGTTGCACCGCTTGGTTGGTGAGCAGCATTACTGTTGCACCTCGGTGCCTCCTCTCCAGGCTTGGAAAGTTTGTTCATGGGGCGTGAACAAACTCTGTCTGAGCTGCAACATAGACCATAGGGCAACGCATTCCCCAAAATTCCTGTCACACGCAGTAGCTGCAGCTTCAAAGGACAGCTCAGCCACAAGCACCTTGACTGGTCAACCTCTACGCTCCTGGAAGTTCAGGAGAGGAATACTGCTGATGGACTGTCCCACCACGCACAGCACAGCCAGTGCCATCTGCGTCCCAGCGCCTGCTGCTCCAAACCTGGCACCACGTGTGCTGACAGGCCAGCACGGGCTCTCCCACCGCTCCACAACACCAAGGAGCCCAAGTGCCCTCTCTGCCTCCAAGACTTGGTGGAGGACTACAAGACCTCTGCTCTTTCCACTGCGGATAAAAACAGCACTGGAGGTAACCTGAATGGCGTCCTCTGTGAACACACTAGTGCATCTCTTGATTATAAAGCAATGCCCCTCCTGTCCCTTCTAACATGGGCTGTAAGTAGCTCGAGCACTCAAACGAACTTGATAATAGGATTATTTGCTTCAGAAAGCCTTCAGAAGCCATCGCTCCAAAGAAACTTAGGTGCTGTAAGCTTGAAAGAGGCCAAACAGTGACTGAAAAAAAACACAATCTTATTTGAAGCCAGCTCTTCTTAATCCACATTATGTCCCCACTGATGAACACGTAAGGCCATGCAAGAGAGATAAAATGGTGGGCTCTGGAAAACAAAAAGCACACATTTTAACAACTGTTTATTCTTTCATTAAACATGACTACTCTGCATAAGCTACAGGCCAAGTATTGGGCCTTAAAGTACTTTGCAGATTCCTGCAAATACAGGAAAACAGCTTCTGACTTATAATGACATACCTGTTCTTTGAATGGGTAGATGCTTGAAAACAATTAAGAACACTATAGCAAAAAATGCCTGTAGCAAACATTATCCAGCAGGGGTTTACAGAATGGAATTAAATTAATTTCACAATGCAGTTTTTCAAAGGTTTCTAGGGATAGCAACCATAAACAGCAGTCCTTGGACACACTTGGAACTATCCTAAAGATGCTCAAACAGTAAATGTCATACCCCCAATTCTTCCAGCTATTTGGTCTAGTGCAGTGAAATCATGCATAAAGCTGCCAGACCATATTATGGGAAGCAGCAGCATATAAGTGGAAAGTTTTTCTATTTCATGAAAAAACGTATATTCTTAAAACACACTTTTTAATATGAATTGCAAACTGGTGGAAAAAGCAAAAGGCTAAAACTTTCGTACAAGAATGAGAAATAATTGGAAAATAAGAGGCCGATTAATTGCATGCTGCTGCAGAACATGCTTAATCTATAAAGGCATGACTAAATCTTTGTATAATGCTTACATGTAACAAATTAACAAGATGTACTGCATCAAGTAATAAAAAAACCTCTGGGGGACACGTTGCTTGCTTTTTGCAGAAAGAGGAGCATGGGCATTGCTCTCCTCTCTCCTTTGACCCTGCCTGGTCAGGGCATGTATCATCATGTATTTAACTATGGTTACATGAGTTATGATCATCCTTACTATGCAGTCTCCCAATCTGTAAGCAGAACCAGATGTACTGGACACTTTCCACTCCTTAGTCCTGTGTTAACAATAAAACATAATTATGCCATACTTTGTGTAAGTTTGGCATATTGGGATATCACTGAGTCATTTTTAAGTCATTTATATAGTCATTATGACATTTATATAAAGTCATTTATACTTCAGGGGACTAATATTTTTAGCTAAAACCAGCATGCTTTTTGTGTAATTACACTAAAACATCTACCTTAAGGTTATTGTAATTCATGGATACATGAAAGGAAGAAAGACGGCAAAACAAATCATAGAGTTGAATAACTTCTGAGATATTTGGTGAGTAAAATTAAGATCAAGAGGTAGGTAAGTGAGGGAGGCTTCAGTTTTGAGGGTTGGTGGTGTGACAACAGTTGCTAATTATATGCAGAATAATGCAAGGTTGCTTAAGGAAACGTGGGATTACACAGGTAAGTAATGTGGCTGTTAGGTCAACAAATTCCTTTTAATGAGGATGAAAAAGAGATCACACAAAGCCACAGTGAGAGGGACATTGATGGGTCTTGGCCCAAACTTATAAAGGTAGTAAGCCTATAAATAAATTTCTGTTAAGAAAAAGCTGATCAAACTCTATGAAAACACAGGTAATAAATACCCAAGTGTAGCTTCAGTGAAAAGTAACTCAGATTCTTCCTAGACACCGAGTATTTTCCCCCATGCATTTTACCAACTACTCTGTTATATAAGGAGCATTTAAAATTATATCTACAAACATAATTGTTGCTTTATAGCCACATTGCCTGATTTCAGCTTAGAAATTCTCCTGCTGCTTCCATGACTTCTGGTCACTACCAGCCAAAACATCCCATGTAGACTCCACTCCAATGCAGTAGTAATTTTCAATTCAGCACATTCCTTACAGAACTCAACCAGGTCCTTTACAGAATTTGCACTTGCTGAACAAGGCACACCAATGCAGATCCTCACTATCTAGGTTCTAATACATAAATTCCATTCAATAGAAATAAATAAATAGTGAGCTTTGCAGTGTTCTCTATTTTTATAAGCAACAAGGAAATTTGTTCTCTCTAATAAAACTAGTCTCATTTTCCAGGAACAGAAACACTCCTTGAAGGCCAAGTGATTTTACATAAATCAGACAAGTAAGGTTAAGTGTTGTGAGTACCCCCTCAATCTGATGTCAGACAACTCCAGATATGTTTGATTTCTCCTTATACAGGAAAAAAAATGCCTATGCAGCTTTGGCATTGGCCACTACTCAGAAAGTAAGAGATGACAGCAAGTAAGCATATAGGCAGCAAAACTGAGTGCAGTTGTGAAATAATCTTGTCGTTGCTCCATCCCTCAGTATTATCTTGAATTCAAAACATTCAGTTTATTTCAGAACAGAATTTGACCTTCGGAAATATCATCTTCTAAACATTTCCATTATTGAGTAACTTTGATTTCAGCATATCATTTCTCAATTTATGGTGACTTCTAAACCAAGAAGTTAAAACCAGAAGCATAGCCTGTCTGGAATAATCATAGACTTAATAAAATTGCTGTTAACTGTGCAGTTAAGAACTGAAATATTAGAGTAAGAGAGCTCTAACCATTATGCTTTGTAAAAGTTGTTTCCTTACCTGTTTCAGAAGACCAAGATTCAGTTCCCTGTTTAATGTTTTTTCTGTATCATCATTTCTGCTAAGAACCCCACTCATTGCTTGGGCTGTACAGTGCCTATTCACAAGGCAAGCCGCACAAGAACACTGACCCTGCCACAAAGAATTTCCAGTCCAGATATATATGAACAGAGAGAGAGTAGAGTACAAGGGGAAAAAAAAAACCCAAAACCAACACTGATCAGCATTACAGGCGGCAAAACAGTCATTCATGCTTTGTAAGGTAAAGGGCTTTTTACAGAGTTCTCTGAAGAACAGTGGGGCTGCTGCACAGATTTTTATGAAGACCTTTGCTCAAGCTTAGGGGAAAGCAAGGAAAGAATTAATGCACTCAGCTTAAAGGTGATGTGAATACGGTTAATTGGTGTTGGAGCTGGCATCTGAGGAACTTACTGACAGAAAATAGTCACAGGTCCCAGAGGGCCCTCAGAAACGAAAAGTAGCAGCTTAGGCTTTACCCAGTGGAGAAGGGGGAGTCAGAGAAAGGATAGAGAGTTGTAACTATTTTTAATCAATATAAAATGATCTGTGTAAAAACAGTCAAAGCCATGCTGCAATTAACTTTCAGTATGCAAAAGATAACTACAGAGGCATCTGACAGTTCTTGGACGAAGGCCGGTAGAACTACTAACAGCATCAGATACTCAACATCACAAAGGGGATACAGTTAAGCCAGTATGCATCTCCAACCCCTTCATCCAAGACCCAAGGTCAACAGAAGTTGTGCTGAAAGTACACGCGCACACACAGAATTTTTCCCACTTGAAGAGTAATACGAGATCACTGCATGCTGTATTACTCTAGCAGAGATGGAAGCCACTGGTACAGAGCTCGTCAGCTGTCTTAGTAACAGCCAGTTAACTTACATGCTTACTATCAAGTTTCTATCCCAGAGGAGTACGCACGGCACAATAAGGCAAACTATTAAAATTTAAAACAATAAAATTAGTGTTCTTTAATTCTTGTTCTATACAACCTCCATCTACTTTCCCCAAACACACATAAAAATAAGGAGATGAATTTTTTTTAAAGTTTGCAATGGACAGTTTCAGAAACAAACTTCACCTGGGATCTGTAAAGCAGTACAAAACCACAACAGTTTGATTTGAAACCAGTTCTCCATAACAAAGAGTGAATACAGGTAATGTAAGCTACATTAAAATAGCTACAGTTCACATTACATGACTGGCCCAATTCAGTTTTTTCTGTCATTACGTGCAAAATAACAGTAATAAGAAACAGCACAAAGGCTTTTTCTTAATAAATTTTAATGTTAAGACCAGTTTGTCTGGATAAAAACACAAAGTTACAAGAACCACACTACTGCAAATTCTGCATGGTACACAGTAGTGCTCGCAATATTTGAGTGGCAAGACCATTTCGGAACTCTTTATGAAAGATATGTCAAAGACAGAATCTTGGCATGAGTAAGAATGTATGTTACCAGTGAATTTAATCTTGTGAAAATATATCTGTCCCACAATGTACACCACTGTAAATAGTCAAATGCAATATTTATGCACATCAAAAATATATGGGGCGAATACTTAATTTACCATGTAGTCAGTAACAGTGAATGAGAGAGAAATGTTTTGGATATTTTTCTATGATTTCATTTCACTGGAAATTTCCTAATAAATCACTCCAAAGGTTGAAAACCATCAGGACAACTAAGTCTGTAAAATAGTAGTTTCTGATCTTCTGCTAGTGACAGCCCGAAGCTCCTGCCACTAGATTTACATGCATCTGGCTTGTGCTCACTGCCTTACAACATGAGTCCAGACACCAAAAACGCACTACTACCATCACAGCCTGGACGACATTAGCTTAAAACACACCAGGTCAGAGATGCAATATCAATAAAAGGAGATGACTCTCTCAAAGCACCTGCCAGATTCTCAAGTATTAATTATATACACCTATGTTTAAGTACAGAATACTGAAGGACAGTGTACCGAGTAGCAAGTTAAACATTCCATCAATTTTCTGATTACTGCAATGGGTGTTCCCATTTCTCCCATTTAATCTAGGAAAGATACAGCAATCTAAGCATGTGATTTGATGCTACTTAAAGCTCTGTGATACTGTTATGTATTTTCTTTTAAAATATCTACATAAAAAAACCCCAAACATTACTGCAAAATAACTCTATCTACATCTAGAAATGACACAGACTTGATTTGGTGGCTCTTGTTTGACTGTGTCTTTGCAAAGAAATCTAACTTTTCCTTGCCTGTTTAATAGCATATGTATTTCCCTGCCCCACAGGCAATAAATGGTACATGATGAATCACTTCCTCAATATTATTCCCATAGAAATTCACAGTGACCAATTCTGAGGGAGATTTTTTTCTTGTTGTGGGTCGGGTTTTTTTTTTTTTTTTAAGTAATTGTGAAATATAAAATTAATACTACAATTTGCAACTTTGGTAACTTACAGAAAAACAGATTTCAAGCTCTTTAATTAAAGACCAGGTCAGAATGTTACTTACACTATGCTCTTTGTTTCTGTGCAAACACATCAGATAAGGTTCATCCCTCCTCTCGAGGTCATGAAAAATTCTATTATTGTAAGAAATTGGCTACAATTTAAGTTGTGAACCTATCTAATTTTCCTCGGTACCTTTAAATGCTTCCACCACCTAGTCTTAGTAAATTTTTTATGTATTGTTTCAAGCCAGGAAATGCTGATTCCCAAAGCCACCCTCCACCCCCCTCAATCAAACAGAAAAACCCAGCTGAGCCTCAACAAGTACATCTGAATTCTCAGAAGAGGAAATATTTTCTTGATTTAACAGCAACTGTACAATATTACAAACTCAGACACATGAAAAACAATCAGGCAATAGAAAAATGTACAACAGCTTTGGTGTTATACAAAATAATAAAAAAGACTTGACAGCAAGATACATAGTTCATTATGTTCTCACCACGGCCACTTCATTGCTGACTGTAAGACAGTTATTTACTTTTGATATTCTCTGTGTGGCCTTTCCACTCATGAAAAATCATACTATATTACTACAATAAGAACTGTTATGAACACCATAAAGTAAGCTCCAAATTTTATAAAAACATCTTGCCTCTTTGCACTATTGCTTTGTGGCACATTGTCAACAGAACAGCAGTCCAAAATAAAGTGACAACTAGATTTAATAAATTAATATACTTTTTTTTAAAGATGTACAATGCACATTCTTTTTAATCCAAGGTTTTAGGGTGTCAGGATACTTCTATTTACACATATACAGACCTCAGACAGCATTGATAACATCAGAAAATGCAGATAAGGAACACAGCCTTAACTGCTATCCGGATGCTACTAACAAAAGCCAAAACACTGCTGAGAGTATTATTGGGAGAGATATCCAAAGACTGAAGAAGAGTCTATGAAAAAAGGACATGTAAAGGCAAAGGGAAGGTCAAGATGTTTAATATGACCATCTATTCTTGTGAAGACTGAGGTGAAGTTGTTGATGTGCCTTGTTTACCAGACTTCCGTTCATAATTCACAAGTCGTTGCCCAACAAGGTACCTGGGATTAAATAAAAACAGTGAGAAATTAACTAAAGTTAATATAATTCTCTAACACAAATCCGCTTGTCTCCTTTGCTGCAGAAGTAGCTTTCTCATTTTAATAAAAGTTATTCTACAAGTGATCCCTCCCCCCTTAATGGTCTTCAACCATCCTCATCTTTTTTCTCAACGTTCAGGCATTTCATACCAGAATACAGGCATTTCAGGTTTCTTTACAGCCTTAACTTTGGTAGTCATACAATTCAGACATATACAAGCTGAATGAAGATATGAAATATAAAGAATGTGTTTGCATTATTTATATACCTGGCCCCTTTGCTAGATGATACTTTTAAGAGCATCTTTGTAGTGTCTGTTTGAGCCACTGCCACTTGAACAAGTGGAACAACACCTCAGATAGAACCTCCCGAGCACTTTCACTTGGTTTTATAAGTTCAAAAAAAAAGAATCTGACACAATGCAGAACATGCATTGGGTAAGAGTGAGAGAGGCTCAACTCATAGATCAAATGAAAACAACCCTGGTTGAAAAAAGTAAATATTGTAAAGGCATAACTTTACTGCAGCTCAATCTTTCTTAAAGGGAGAGAAAATATCCTAATGCTCCTCTATGTCAAGCCCAAGGGCTGCAAGATTCTTTTACTTAAATTCTGCTTCACCATCTCATCAGCTTAGCAGTTTTCCTACCTTTCACATTATTCCTTACTTCCTCTATATCATCGTTCCACGCTCCTACTTTTTGCCATCTAAATTCCTTTCCGTGCTTCCTGTTTGTATGCTGGTTCTACATGCACCTATGAATTCTTTCCCTGAAACCTTTTTTAGAAACTTTTTCACCACCGCTCCTTTTCTCACAGTACTATAACTAAACGGCCATCACATTTTTTTTTGTACATTTTAGAATCTCACAAAAACTTGTACATGCTCTTGAAATTTGTTACATGAAAGATTTAATTAAGAATATTTCTAAACCATAAATCTCTACTGGCTAGCATCACTATGTTTGCTTACTTCCTGAAATGAGATCATTACTTTAAGTTGTACAAACTTCCTTGTCTACAAGGATGGTTATAACATTGAAGAAGTTCATTTAATATCCAAGTAGTTTTCACTTAGATGTATTTTCACAGCTTTGTATCCTTATGTCTTATTTACACAAGAAATCAACTTGCAACATTAATGCAAGTTGCAATTCAGTATGCGTTCTGCCTGAAAGATACTAACATTTAGCTCAAAGCCCGTTTGTAAATAAAAATACCTGCTATACATACTACATTAGGCCAAATACTACAGAACATGTTATGAAAACAGGTAGGGAACAGGATTTAAATCAGCTGATCAAATAAAAGGTGCTAAAATATAAAGTGATCTGCTGAAAGTTTAATTCTAGTTACAATTCTCTTAATATTTCTAGATACTATTAATTTCACATTTACAACAAATAGTTAATGTATCAGGCAGTTCCTAAAATCTAAGATTCAAAGAAGTTTATTTTAGGTTTGACGCCTTTTATAGTCCGCGGAGAGCAAAACTGTTCTAGGGTAACTCAGGACATGAATACAACAAACTCATTTATTCCTTTTCAATACAAAAGAAGCCATGGAAGACTAGTTGCTGGGGTCTAAAACTTATTTTTCTAAATAAGCAACACAGAAGGTAATTAGAGTAACAGAAAAAATAAGGTAATAACACCAAAAAAGCTTAGAAACTAACCAGAAAAAACACTGGCGAAATGAGTATTTTAGCAGGCATCTGAGTAATAGTAGTAATTACTGAAAACATCAGAAAACAATACAAAATTTGGTAAGGAAAAACTATCAAATCAACTGAACATCCTTTAACAGGTTAATTGGGCTGATGAGTACAAAGAATAAGAAAAACAGGTGGAAAAAGTTGGAGAAACGGTTTTATAAACAGCAGATTGAGACATGATTTTACTTCCAGATATGTCATAATTATTGCAGTCACCTGTCCTTCAGTACTACAGAGGGGGAGACAAACAAGCAATCGGCACCATTTGGGGTAACATTTGGGTTAGACATAGGGGAGTGTCTTCCATTTATAGCCAATCTTTCCTGTGTTTATCTACCTGAACCACAGATAAAACATTTGCCAAGAAGAGTTTAGGTCTGCCTCAGAGGGTCATTTGTTTAGAATGGTGCTTAAAATCCCTTTTAGCCCTAAGTATCTACAACACCTGAATGCAATCTGAAGTTGCCAACACAATTTAAAGTGGAAAAATTAAAAAACCCACACTATATACTCACTTGTCATTTTTAATATGTTCATAAAGGCGCTTGAACTGGCGGACTTGGAAGGAGAGAATTCCCATCAAAACCACCACCATAAGCAGAAAAGGATAAATCCGTCGCTGAACAAGGTTTTGCATTTCAGCAGTAACTCCTACAAAACAAGGCACAACCCTCACATAATCTAACATTGCTGAAGTTACTCACACATTTCAACTTCTGTACCTGCTTTTTATTATACTGTAACTTCAGAAGAAGGGCTGTGAAATAAAGAACACATCCATTTATTTCAGAGATCCAGCTGCTGTTCATCTGAAGCATTAAAGCTGAAAGTTTTCCATTAACACAGTGAAAATCGACAGGAAAAAAATTGGGCTTATCAGCTCTTCTTGCTTATTGACTTCTGTATGCCTTGTATTGGAAGAAAGATGACACTACAGAAGTCTGCATTAAAGTGAGAGGTTGAAGAATAAAACAGGATTTCTTGAACACATTAGCATCAAAACTAACTAGCAACAGACAACTGTTGATGAAAAAGCATATCTACCCTGCTTCTAATAAAATTATTTCCCACAATTATGAGGAGATAGGAAAGGCTGAAAAAAAATAATATTTACAGTTTACATTTTAATACTGAATGAAAACCTCAAAACAAAACTAGTGTTTTCACCTGTTCTAAGCTTTCTTTAGAATCTGACAAGTCCAAAAAGATGTCCTCAGCTCAGCATAGCTCTTAGAGACTAAAATTAGAGGCTGATTGTCAAAAGAAGAAATGAATTAATCATTCATTTCCCAAACTAGCTAAATACCTACGTTTCTGCTGTTAGATATTATGCAGTCCTATACTTCTCATGTATCCTGCACTTGGTTCTTTAAAAAGCCAGTCAAAATAGTGTATTGCATTTCTCAAAAAACCCCAAACTGTTAAGATGACACAGCAATCCTTAAGCATTTACATTTGCTGGCAGAATAGTATTTTTTATTTTTTATTTAAATAACCTAGAGCTTGAAGCTTTATTTCCACAGGTATATTTACATTGCTCTAAACCATCAGAAGATAAACAGATATTCTGAATGTATACATACCTAATAAAGGTACAACGCCAGAAGCTATGATGTATGGTACACACAGGGAAAGTAAGAGAACAGAGATTACGGGTGCCGCCAGTTTACGGATTATGAAGTGTAAATCGATGTTACGAATCCCGTTTGCATATACCTAAGAAGAGCACGTTAGGAATAGAATGGATCAATCAGGAAAGCCATGCTTTGCACTTATAGTAATAATTACAAGGTTTTACACAATTCTTATGAGAGGAAACAGGTGTTCCCAACTTAAAGAAAACCACGATGGCCACAGTTGAAGAAGCAAAAACTCTGTGCCAGTCTCTATCAGGGGAGTCCCGGGAAATCATTTAAATAGTTCCCAGGAGAGCAACTTAATCTGGAATAGTGTTCTAATTTGGCTGCAGGAGTGCAAGGGACCAGATGAAAGATTATTAAATAGAGCTGGGGATGGTGGTTTTGTGGGTGACCTGGGATTGCTTTATGCTGTGAACTTGCTGAAAGAGGTTCTTGTGTATGCTAATACAGAAAATCTATTAAATTTGGTAACACAGGCAGAAAATAGGATCTTATTTTGTACTTGGCTGGACAGACCGGAGCCTCTGCATGTGGAGTCTGTGCCTGAAGAAGGGCCTCCCAAATTCTTGAGGTGCTAAGGTCCCAACGTGACTAGACTAATCATTGGAAAACACCTATTTCAAATGGCTACCACATACAGCTAGACAATGGCCTCTCTCCCACAGCCTGGATGTAACCATTTCTAAGGATGGCTCAGGAGAGTGCGTGTATAACAAACGGGCCCGGGAGAGCATTCCAAATGTAAGGAAGAGCCGTGGTATGCATGAAAAAGTACTCACAGAACTAAGACTACATTTCTCCAGTGTGACACCTAAAGTGATCAGTAAATGGTTTAATAACTGGGACTACACGCTAGACTTGAGAGGCACCTTTTGTACAGTACACACACCATAGCCATCACATATAGTGCAGGGCTGAAAAGTTACTTTCTGACAAACAACTGAGATACTTCATTGAGATGACACGTGTAAAACTTAAAAGTTACAATCAAGAAAAAAATACTTCAATGAAAGCAACAGGTCATGTGACTCAGAACTGCTTAACAACCAAAGGAGAATGTAAATGGCGTCTTTCCCCCTCTATGAATGAGGGAATCTCTACAGCTCTAGAGAAGGCAGAAATTCTCTGTTCTTGAGTGGTGGCCATAAATAAAGTCCGGTATTTGGACACATGTGAATTAATCTGAAGAAATAATGATGTTTCTCACTTTAATACAAACCTGATAAAATTGCATATACATATACGCAGCATTTCCTTAATTTCAAATTGCTGAGGTTTATTTTTGTTTTATTGTTAAGTGTACCTTAATGGATTAGGCTATACAATTTAAAGAAATTCTACAAGACTAGTTGAGTTTTACACAATTACTCAAATTACACTATCACTACAACGGTAACTCTGTTTTCTGACTCACACATTCAAAAAACGTTCAAAATTTATCATACAGATAATTCACATGTACAAATTTTTCCTACCTGTTCAATAACAGTTTTCAGCCACCACTGGGGACCCATCAGTGTTATGGCAGCAATTATTTTGGCATGCAGAACTCCAAGAGCCCAGTCCTAATTTTGTAAAAATGGACTGTTAACATTAACATCTTTTTAACAACCAAAAGCTTGTAGAGCGACTTGTTACTATTACTTATAAGTGAAGAGATAATTACTTTTCTATTTACATAGGACATTGTTTACAAGAGGTGACATCTTCTGCAAACTCCTGAGAAAAAGAGGATGCTCTCAAGCTCAACTGACATCTGTAAAATACTCAGCTCCATGGAACCAGGAAAATCAGCTACTGCTATTAAACCAAAGGCAAATACAAAATAAAAGCATTACACTTACTTAAAGCAACAGACTAACATCCTGGTACAAACTAATTAACACTTCTAACATTTACCTAGAAATAAGTTACTTTGATTTCCTTAAAAAAAAAAAATATAAAGAAGATATAAAGATGCTCACACAAGTCAGGAAACAAGTTGGTTTTTTTGTCTTTTAAATTTTAAATTGTTCACAAAACCCTAACTGATGTAAGAAAAGCTAAACAAATTAAGGCAATGCTCTTCACAAAAGAACATCATAATATTCAGATGAAAATTTATGCTTTATTATATACTGCAATTATTATGGCATGGAATTAAAAGAAGACAATATAACTACAGGCGTTTAGTAAACACTGCATATCATGAGTCAATCCTTTCTGAATGACAGATATTTGTAAGAGGCTCTTCAATAAAAACCAGCAAAACCAGAATGCAAAGTATAGGCTGACAAGGCAGAATAAATAGCTACAGAACTGGTAAGACTTAAGACATCATAGGTTAATTAACTTTCTTAAACTGATGGGGAAATACATTTTCTTTAACCAAATATTTAAAAAGACAGCTTTTGCTAATGTGTATTACCCCAGATATGTTAAAAAAATTTAAAAACTTATTACTAAAAAAGTCAGTGTTAAAAATTGCTTCATGTTTGCTCTGGCATGTAACATTTGTACAGCTCTATTCTTCTGTGAAAAAGAGAAGTTATTCTCAGTTTCAATACCTCCTTTTTAATTTAGAAAAAATCTCAAATCCCTCTAATTCAATATTTTGAAGAAACTCTGCCACATGAAAATCAAATATTTCAGTATATTTAATTGCAAACTTTTAAAGGACTAACATGCAAAAATTAAGAATTTTCAGAATCTCAAGCATTACAAATTCTTTCCAAAACTTTTTGGAAACCATGATCATCTACTGCTGCAATCACATGATGTCCTGACTTACTAGACATTTATTTAAACAGACATCTCCAAAGTATACTTGTACTATAAAATAATGGAATATTTAAATTAGCAGTCAAATTCTTCTTTGTATTATGGTTCTCAAACATTTGGATACTGAAAGGAAAGAAAAGCTTGTTTGTGGACAGTTTAGAAAAATCACTATCCCTGAACACTTTGTTATTTAGTAGTATGCATTCTAGATCTTTGAGTTATGGTTCCCTCAGTTAGGGTTTCTTTGAGTTACTAATTCTTTCATAATTTAGCCTAGGTGATGCAAGCGTTTGTCACTCAGTCTACTGTACCTTCATTTCTTCCACCAACTTGTAGGAAAAAGTTTGCACTCCCTTAACCTATGAGACTTGGCTGAAGAAAAACAAAACACTACTACTGCAAAATCTTGTATTAATGATTTGAGATCTCAACCTAAAACCAGAATAATTCTAAAGCATATCAAAATTTCATTTATAGTGTGTATCATCACTGAATTAAAAATTTGTATGGAAAAAAAAATAATCAGCTGAACCTCTTGCTGCATAGCTGTAGGCAGAAAGCTTTCCAGAAAGGTCAGACAGAATACGTATGTCTGTGCATAAGTACATACAGCTATACCAACTTTTGTACATAACTTTACAATTGTGCTACTGAAAAAAGTGTCTGTCTGATCACTGAAATGTAAAGATCCTCTGATGTCATCCCACAAAGTTCAACTTTTCATACTCAAAATTCCTAAGCATATCCTTTTGGTTTAAATAATCCTCACATCCAGACTGGGTGTCTTTTCTCTGTCATATAGAAACATGGGAAATGTTCTGAAGCACCGACTCAAGAGGAAACAAGAACTCCCATACCTTTTACGTCTAAGTAAAGAAATGTATCAACAGCAGAAGAATGTGAGCAACTGACCTGCCAAGGATAGAAGAGAGGTGTTTGATCCAAAGGAACTCTCAAAGGGGCAACGATGACCAGTTCAAACAGAAGACCAAGCAAAAGTGGAACCACACCAGCTAGCAGTATAGCCACTATTAATGTCTTCATTATCTAAAAAACCCAAGACATCTATTTAATATGTTTATCCGAGGATTTCTTTTTGTTTACACTTAAAAATGCAACGTCAACTACACACAGATGAAGCTGGAGAAAAAAACTACACAGACCTTCAATTCACATATATAGACGCCCTAGAAATAATTTTAATTACATACATAGTTTTGCAATGCAAGTTTTCAAGACTGGGTCCTTCTCCAGAGAAAAGTTTGACTGTGCCTAGTGGTGTCCATGTAATTTTAAACCATAAAAATCACTGTTTACTGTTATCAGTAGGGAGTACTACCCAATGGCACTTCATTACAATCAGCATTTGCATATGTTGGAAAATTAGAGAAGAATCTTTCCAAAACTGCTAATTTTTGTCCAGTGAAAACCAAATCTTAAAAATTCACTCATTATGGAATATTTCTGACTTAAAAATGAAAGACTTCATGCTTAAATGCTTCTCTAATCTAGAATTCTTTTCATTTACGTGCATCATCCAAAAATCAGACACAAAACTACTCTGACATAATTAGCATGATCAGGAGAAGGGACAAAGGACAAGTAGAGCATTACATTTTTAGCTCTGAATTTTCTTAAAACAAATTTAAGATTTCCTAAAACAAAACGATGGATAAGATATTTGGGAAATATGGTAGTACATGAAATACACACTTTACAATGCTCTTCTGTCTTCAATAATCCAATAAGCACACAAGCATGTCCATCACAAGATACCATTTATGCTAGGAATGTTTAAAATTACTATACTTAGGCAAGAAATCTATGATAAAAATCCTCAAAACAAAAACCATGATAAAAAGATGGGATATAAATTTGCTGCCATGATGAGAATCTGAACTCTTGGTAATAAAAAAACGATATTTTATTCAAAAATATTAATTTGAACAACAAAGATTTGGCAAATCACAAAGATCTTTCTGAAAATATGCATCAAGCTACTTTGTAGAAACATGTTCATCATCATCTATCAGCTTTACTAGTTGTTTTTTTTTTTATGTGATAACATCGAGTTCCTGAGTTAAGCTTCCAAGTGTATGAGAAAATGTAAATGTAGTTGAGGACACATCACATTGGATAACATAATGCTCATAATAACATACTCACTTTTAAAGGAAAACAGAAAAACATACACATATATATAAACATATATACACAAACTTATTTACACTGTTTGCTTAACATTGTGTTAAATGGCTTCCAAAAACAGTTACTCTGTGCAATGGGAATGTAAGCTGCAAAAGCTTCAAAAAGGTCTGAAAAGGAAAAATATAGTATACATTGCAGTGTAAAACCTCCAAGCAAAAATTATACAAGTTTGGTTAGATACTTTTTCGATAATTCAGTGAAATTTTTTCTGAAGACTCACCATGAGAGACCATTCTTTGACCTTCTGAAAAATGACTCTACGACCCTGTGGCATCCAGGCAACCAGCACTGTCACTGCGCGGATAGTCAGCCAACAGACATAGAGACCACAAGCAGCCGTGTACAGTTCATGGATTTTGGCAGTCCCCGTCCAAAATGACATTAACCATCGGCCAGCAAATACTGAAAACACAAACACTGTTAAATAGAGTAACGCCTTTTGATGTATTAAGGAAGGATGCCTATTAAAAAAATACTTAAATTTATTGTTAAATATCAATGCACAAATAGTATTATGCCTGAAACAGTATTTTTATACTATACCCATAAAGCATGAATGTGTGAAGCACTACGTAAATAGACAGATGATGCCAAATATACATGTAGATTTTTTTTTCCTGAAATTTCATTAAACCAGCAATACGTAAACCTTCAGAACTGCAAAGGCAATAATGAATTAGTGCATAAGCTTGAACTTAAATCTTATGAGCTATGTTTGGGTTATTTCACTGCCTCGTATAATTTTTTAAGACTTACTCAGGGGCCTTCTGAAGCTCTCTGACATAAATGGGAGACTTATTTCATTTTTTAATAGTGTTTCTATTCACTGGTATTATAGTGGAATTATTTTATGTACTACGATTAAAACCATGACAAAATTCGTAACTCTGATCTCAACACATTATTGACTTTAGGATCATTAATACAAGAAGGTAAAAATGACATGGTACTAAGGTAGCCAGCTTATAAAATTCACATGAGTTTAAATGTCTTAATTTGTTCCAAATTATTTTAGAAACTACAAAGTGGTTTTGATTTGGTTAAAGTACTTATTCATACATATTTGGGAAGTGGTACGTATATCACTTCAAAGCCTCCTAGTGACCTGTCATGATGACACCTTCAGAATATTTAATTAAAGAAGATACTGTAGAAGACCTCATAACAACCTATATATTTTCCTTCTTTAAGTGGTAAAGCAGGTGCAAGAGTATCATACTGTTTTTCTCTCATTACTACTACAGAGAGTGTCTCAGCAATTGAAGCTCTGCCCTTAAAAGAATGTTGTTCTACAACAAAACAAAGGAAATGGAAACCTCTGTCATTTAGATTTTAGCCCATGACCATTAAAAATGAGACCTATTTTCCCATGTTTTCTCCTTTAAACAATGGTTTCAAAACATCTGCCATTGTTGACCACGGCAACATGCTGAGTTGCTTTTAATCAGTTTTACAATAGAAGACTTACCTGGTAAGGTAAGGCAGATAAGACTAGCAATCAGTAATGTTATGCACATGAAAACAATCAAGAGAAATATCTGAAAGAGGAGAAAGAAACAGTTTGTGAGAAAGTTACTTAACCAAAGCCAAAAACCATACAAAAAGATGTATCACCCTAGAAAGGATGGTTCAAACACCAACTGATGTTTCACTGTATAAATAATTCAGTGATAAGAAACTGATCCACAGTACGTGCAGCACACCTAGAGTGTTGTGTATTTCTTTTAAGAGTTCACATCAGTTGTTGCAACAGTAAAAATTAACGTACGAATCCAGAATGACTGAAGTTCTTTGTTATGTTACATTAAAAAAAAATAATCTATTTCTGCACTGACCAGCACAACAGCTCTCAATCAACCCTGAAAAGTTTCCAGCTCTGTATGCCAGACAAGCAAGACAATGGTTTTATATTAAGGAAAACCTTGCTGAGAAAGTTTTTCCAGATGCTGTTGGGTTTATGTGACCAGCAGCTGACAGCAAAGCTGGTGGCTCCTTAGTCAGGTTTATATCTTACCAGAGAATTCTCATGTACTTGACTTCTTTAAATATTTGAATGTCTCGAGCAGCATGTGCTATGAAGTTCTGCTTCACTAATCACCAAAGCCACACAACAAGCAAGATTACTATGGGAAAACTAACACCTTAAGATAACAGACTACTGAAAGAAAGTTAAATCTGTAACATGCATTTTGCCTGATGATACTTTTGGTGACAATATAGATCATCTCATCTTCAGTACTGCTTAAAGGAAGAAAAAACTTGTGATTTTGTAGACGTTAGCCTGCGTGAAGAGGGATGATTCCAGAATACCCAATTACTTGCAAGGTGATAGCCACATACCCTTTTTCACACAGAATATTCTCTTTAGGGTTAGGGATCCCAAATGACAAAAAGAAGAAAAACAGAGTAACTGACAACTGTACTGCAGGCAAAAAAACTTCTCAATGGTGAGGAACACACGGTGCGACTTGCTTGGACTAATACTGTCCAAATAGTTACTTAGGGAATGCTGGGGAAAAGTCAGTCCATGTGGGAATAAATAACACATGAAGGACTAAAGCTGATACGAAGCTTTTAAATGCCATACAGGGCTGCTTCTTGGATCAGTGAGCAAGAGAAGGTACACACGGAAGAGCAACTCTTGACTTGGACGTAAAAAATTCACAGGCAGCTAGTCATTGTATCACAGAAGAAGCACTAACAGTGACTGCAATATATTCAGACTCAAAGATGTTGTAAGGACAGCCCTTCTTCTCTCCAAAAATCCACCGCAATAATATGATTTCAAGAAAGCAAACTAGCTAAAATCAGGACACTTATTAAAAGAATATAGAAAATAGCAGTCAAAAGAAAAAATGCTCAGAGGAGATGTGTTTAGATAAACTGAAGTGAAGGTTTGGCAAACTCACACTACTAATCATAAGACTTAAAAAAAAAAAATCTCCCCAAAGTCATCACTGTAAACTAAAAATGGCTCACAGAAGGTTTTTCCAGAAGTTGGAAATAAATCCACAGAGGAAAAAAAAAAACAACCCAGAAAATGAATGAACTCGTATATATTCTAGCACAGGCATTCATGCTAAGAAGGGAAAAAGGGACAATTACCACGGAAAGATGACTGGCACCACTGCCTTCATCAGTAAGTGCGGATTTATGCTAGATTAAATTTGTCTCATTCAGAGCATGCTTTGACTTCCTGTTAGGACCAAACCGAGGTAGCAGCAGCTGTTATGAGAGGCAAATTCGTTCTGCTTCCCTAGCCTTCTCATCCCCAAGCTACTTCCTCACACTGTTTCCTCTACATCAGTGTTGTAGCT